CTTGGAGGCTTTTTGGGGCGTGATGGGGTCATCTTGGGCCATCTTGGGGCGATCTTGGGAGCCTCTTGGGCCGTCGGAAGGCCGAACAGAAGCAAAATGCAACATTCTTCAACATTCTACGGGGAATCAGTGATTTTGGCCTCTTCCAGCCCTCCTGGAAGACTTCTCGGAGACCTCTTGGGCCGTCTTGGAGGCCTCTTGGGGGCCGCTGGGGCCGTCTTTGGCTGTCTTGGAGGCTTCCTGGGCGAACTCGAAGGCATCTTGGATTCTCTTGGGCCGTATTGGATACCATCTTGGACCATCTTGGGCGAACTTGGATGCCATCTTGGCCGTCTTGGAGGCCATCTTGGGCCATCTTGGAGCCTTTCGAAGTATGACACACCTCGGCAACCGGGTCATCTGAGTGACCAGCGCGCTGCGTCGAAGCTCCAGGGGGAGTTTTTAAATGAACTCAAGACCTTTCGGACATCCAGCACGCCAGGCATCCTTCTGGCAAGACCAACAGGGGGCGGCGGCTCTCATGGCCTTCGGCCCATCCCGCCACCGTGCCAGGGTTGTGGGTCATATGCCTCTAAGATGTTCGTTGGGATGTCGCGGGATGGGGGCCGTTTTGAGGCCTCTTGGGGGCCGTTTTGGAGCTTCTTGTGGCATCTTCGGGCCCTCTTGGGGCCTCTTGCGGGCTCTTGGGGCCTCCTTGGAGCACTGTTGGGCCGTCTTGGGCCCTTTTGGGGCCGTCTTGGAGCCCTGTTGGGCCGTGGTGGGGCCCTCCTGGGGGCCTCTTGGGACGTCTTGGGGCCTCTGGAGCTCGAAAAATCGAGGGCCCCACGTCATCGAACAACATGTTGAAAGTCAATGGTTTTGGCCTCTCGGGGCTCTTGGGACGGCTCTTGGGATTTTGTTTGGGGCGTTTTGGAGGCCTCTTGTGCCGTCTTGGGGCCATCTTGGGCGTCGTGGTGCGATCGTTCGGCGACTCGGGGTCCTTCTTGGACCGTCTTGGGGGCCTCTTGGGGCCCTCTTGGCCCCTCTTGGGCCCTGACAAGTGACGCGAGAGGACGTGAGAAGCCGCAGGGAGCACGCGAGCAGCCCAAGAAGGTTTGAGAATTTTGGGGTCCGGGCCCGAAGACGACTCCTCGGGAGCGCGTAAAGGATAAGGCAAAGGATCTGAGGGCACGCCCACTCCGTGCCCAGCGGCACTGTGGCGGACGTGGTGCAGTTTAGGTGGTGTGAGCTATGTTATGTAGAATATGTGGAATATCTGTGATGTGAGCTCTGCGGTGGAAGCTATGTGGTGCAATTCACTTAGACTGTCTTGAAGCTGTCCTCTCCGCTGCTCGTGCAAACATCCCACCGTCCCACCCGCAACTTGGTTGCAAGACTTCTTAAGACCGTGACGGTGGGTACCTCATGGCACTTGGCAACGACAGCGAAGCCGACGACGACAGCGACAACGACGACAAGGATGCCGACGACGACGACTACGACGACACAAACGACGTCTCCGACGACTTCGACGACGACGACGACAGCGACGACGACGACGACGACGGCGACGACGACGACGACGACGCCGACGCCAACGACGACGACGACGGCGGCGACGACGACGACGGCGACGACGACGCCGACGACGAGGACTACGACGACGACGCCGACGACGACGACGACGCCGAGGACGACGACGACGAAGACGACGACGACGACGACGAGAGAGGAGGGAGGACGACGACCGCGACAACGACGACAACGACGAGGGAGGAGGGAGGACGGCGACGACGCGAACGACGAAGAAGGAGCGTCGACGACAACGACGAAGGAGGAGGGAGGACGGCGACGACGACGACGACGACAGCGACGAAATAGGAGGGACGACGACGAGACACTGACGACGGACGACGACGACGACGACGACGAGGAAGAGGAAGGGCGACCACGGCGACAGCGACGATGGGAACGATGACGACGCCAAAGAAGACGACGACGACGACGACGACGAGGAGGAAAGACAGAGGACGACGGCGACGACGACGACGAAGGAGGAGGGAGGACGGCGACGACGACGACGACGCAAGAGCGCGCGCGCGCACGCTTTCGTTGAACATCAGTGTTGCGAAACCTTGCGTTTTTGCATGTTTTTCGGGCACTCGATTTTGAAATCCTGCCGAAACCGTTTGTTTTTGAAGGATTTCGACATGCGCGCGCGACGACGCGCGCGCGTGCACCTCGTCACATGTTTTGCAGAGGATTCTCGCGACGGCACGCGCGCAAGGGCGTTCGACAGATTTCGACATGTGCGCGCGCGAAACCGATTTCGTAGTATGTTTGGACAATCTTACGAAACCTATGGTTTTCTTAAGATTTCGCAAGAGCGCGCGCGTGAGCTTTTTTAGAACAGCAGTGTTGCGAAACCCTGTTTTTGTATGTTTTTTGGAAACTCGATTTTGCAATCCGTCCGAAACCGAAGGCTTTTGAAGGATTTCGGCACGCGCGCGCGACGATGCGCGCGTGTGCGCTTCGTCCAATTTTTGCAAGGGATTCTTGAACACTTATGGCTTTTATCAACGAATGTGCGCGCGTAGTTTTTTTGCAGAGGATGGGGGGGGGTCGATACCGGTTTGGCTGGGATAGTATAATTTCACATGTAGGATGGACATTGGGTCAGAATCCTATGTGCTTTGCATCGGTTCCTGGGGGATCTTTAAGCCCGGGGCGGGGGAAGCTGGTAGAACTTATTTTTTAGAAAGGACACTCTAAGCGTTGTGAGCTGTGATATGTGACCTGTGCTATGCAGGATGTGTGGTGCATTATATTCGTTGCGACATCTCGGCGGATCCACCAAGCGCACGGGGCGCCCACGAGGCGCCCACGAGGTGTCCACGGGCGGCAACGTGTCGAAACCCCAGGGTGCCAACGAGGAGCCCACGGGGCACCCGCGGCCGTCAACGTGGCGAAACCTCGGCGGATCCACCCAGCGCACGGGTCGCCCACGAGGCGCTCACGGGCGGCAGCGCGGCGAACTCTGGGCGGACCCACGGCAGCGTGGCGAAGCCTCGGCGGAGCCCCAAAACAAAAACTCATCCCGTCTCCCAAGCCCGCCCTCGCCCGGATCCCTGGCCCCAGGAGCCCCCTGGACGCCTGTGCACAGGGCCGCAAGCTGGAACATACACATTACCAGTGGCGGGTTGTTTCTCAACCCCACGACTTTGAGAGGGTCAGGGACGACGTCGGGGTGGTGTGGTGTGTACTTTTCCTTCGTTTGCCAAGGGGAACAACGGAACATGTATGCACCAGGGTCCCGCATACACCAGAATCCGCGTTCCTGTGCGAATTTCAGCGCAGGGTCGGGAGAAGCGTCGGTGTATAGAGTTCGTCTCCTTACAGGGATCCCTGGGCCCTCCAGGCCTCCCGGACGCCCCTGCCGGGCGCAGCCTGCGGGCCCGCAAGCGGTCAGGCGAGCGGCCAGGCGGCGCCGCGAGAGCACCCGAGCGGCCCCAGACACCCACCAGGCGCCCGAAGACGGCCCAACGAAACACACACTTTTTGTTAGTTAGTTAGGTAGGTAGTTAGTTAGTTAGTTAGTTAGTTAGTTAGTTAGTTAGTCCAGATTTCGTAATAAAAGGGAGGGGGTCTGGACCCTCCAAGACAAGCCATTTCAGACCCCCCCCCGTGGGAAAACCCTCCAAAACATCGTCCCCAGACACCCCCAGGCCCTCCAAGATAGCCTGGAAGAGACCCCCCCCGAAATGAGACCCCCCTCTCTTTATTGCGAAATCTGGAGTAATTAGTTAGTTATTTGTTTTATTGTTTTTTGTTTGTTTGTTTGTTTGTTTGTTGATTGTTTGGTTGGTTGGTTCGTTTTTGGAGCAGCAGAAAGCATTGCTGATGCATTTTGCTTTTGTGTGTTACTCGGTTCTTCTGTCTTCTGGGCGTCCGAGACCGCCCAAGAGGCCATCGAAACTCGCCCCGAAACGATTCCAAAGGGCTTGCAGAACACGGCCCTGAGACGGCCCGAAGAAGGCCCCCAGACGGTCCGAAGTGGTACCAGGACGCCTCCCGAGGCACTCGAAGTGCCGAACGGGTCGTCGAGGGAGGCCGTGGTTCGCAGCACGGTGGCACGAGGACGCTTCCCGAGCTTCCTCCCTCCCTCTCCGCCTCCTCCCCCTCCCACTCCTCCTCCTCCTCCTCCTCCTCCTCCTCCTTCTCCTCCTCCTCCTCCTCCTCTCCCTCCCTCCCTCCCTCCCTCCCCTTCCTCCCTCCCTCCCTCCCCTCCCTCCCCTCCCCTCCCCTCCCTCCCTCCCTCCCTCCCTCCCTCCCTCCCTCCTCCCCAAAGGCGCCCGAGAGGCCTCCAGAAGCCACCCAGGAAGCTCTGACAAAATCCGTCAGGCCTCGAAAAGGCTCTCCAAGGCAGGGCCTCCGCGAACAGAAGCTGAGAAGGACGGGCGTGGGTTCGCAAGGTACGGCGAGAAGGAGGACAAGGAAATCTGATGGAAGGGAAATGACAGTGTAGTATCGCGATAACGATGGAATCGGCAACGGTGGGCCATCGCTACTCTTACTCGTTTCCCCCTCTCCCATTCCTCACGCAGGCCAAGACTGAAGGACCAAGGTGAGTGGTGCGGAGCGCCAATGCAGTCCTGTATGTCTATACGTTTCTGTATTCACACATCTACGTGTGTATAGAGAGTGTGCACGCGGATGTTCTGTACAGATCTGCAGCTCTTCCCCCCCCTCTCTCTCTCCCTCTCTGTTTCTACCTCTCTCTCTCTGTTTCTCTCCCTGCTCCACTCCGCCTCCCTTCCCCTCTCTCTCACTCTCATAGTCGCTCCCTCTCTCCACCTCTCCCTCGGGCCTCTCCTGCTCTCCCCCTTTCCTTCTCTCCCCGGCCTCCTGCTCTGCCTTTCGCTCTGCTGCCCCCCCCCTCATTCTCTCCCCCCCCTCCTGCTCTCTTCCTTCTTGTTCGGCCCCTCTCCCTCTGTCTCTCTCTCGCTGTCGACTGCCTTGAGGTTCTGGCATGGGTGATCTTCGGTGGCGACGTGATGATTTTCCTCGTGCTCTGCCTGCCGTTCGCCGGGTCTGCTATTCTCATTGCGGTTCTGGCGGTGGGCCACGGCGCAAGCACAGGAGGGCGCTTTTCGATCGTACGGGTTCTACCCTCCCCCCAAGCAGGGGGGGTGGGGTGGGGGCCTGGTGAAGGGAAACGGACTCTGGCCGTGCAGTGTGCTGGGCAAATGTTGCCGCATCGGAGTATCACTGTCGAGGAAGCGCAGCGTGCGGCTCCAGTCTCCATGCGAGATCGGCGCGCCCCGTCGCCGGATCCGGCGCCCTGTTTCCGGGGGCGCTTTTTTCCGGATCCTCGGGATCCGTCGTCCGAGCGCCAGGTCCTCGGCTCATACTCTGGCGCGTGCCCGATACCTGGCGGGTGCTCTGTGGGCTCCCATCCCTGCCCCGCCCGATCGGGCATGGAGAACCACCAGGGTGCCACTCTGCGGTCGACGCCGCCTCCTCGGCAGCAAATCATGGGAACCATGTATGTCGTCGGAATTGAGCCTTCAGAGTGTATTAGCTTGCTCTAGCGCTCGGTGGTCGAAGGGACAGCGCAGTTCAAGCGTCGATTAGCGTCGATGCAGCTTCGATTAGTGTCGATTCGCAAGGGCCAACAAGATGACACGGGAGGCTCTCAGGAGTTTTCGCAGAACTCTTCCTGCCCGTTGCCTCATCGAGCATGCCCCTCCAGCGAAGCTGCGATGCGCTGCTTCTGCGAGACCCCTCGCCTCTTACCGTGCGCTGCAGGGACGTCTGCAGGCCGCGGGGATAAACCGTCGCACGATTCGGGCCCAGCTCTCCGACGATCCGTTTTTTTTCCATCCCGGCGTTATCCCTCGATCCCGGCTTTGGGGTCCCGTTTTCTCCGGGCCGGCAAAGAGGGGGGTGATGACCAGGGGGGGGTGGACATCATGGCGTGGGCCATGATCTCTCCCCAGATCTCGTGGCGCCTCTTCTTATTTCATGACGTCCCTGGTCCCCCCTTGGGCCGCGCACATGCCGCCGGCCATGATCTGCATCCCCCCCCCTCTTGGACGCTCCCCTCTTGGCCGCCCCCGAGTTGTCGGGGCCCGGCACCGTCACACACGGTGGATCCAGGACGAAAGACAGCTCCCGGGGAGGCGGTCGGGACTTCCAGGGCCGCGGGCGGAGAAAGTCAAAGCGGCGGATGTCCGGGTTGGTCTGTGTATCCGTCAAGCTTTCTTCCGCCTACTGGGACTTCGCCCTCGGTTCTTGTACAAGGCGTTCCTTGCCCTGCACGTTCAGTACGACACCGCCTGTACCCCGGGCTCGCCCGCCCTCGGCCGCCTGAGGCCCCGCCTTCCTGTGCCCTGTCTCCCTAATTAACGCTGCGCGCAGCCCGCCTAGCTTTTAGCGGAAGAGGCTCGCTCTCGCCCCGCAGATGAAAAAGTGTATCCGTCAAGCTGCCGTTCAGAGCCGTTCATTGTTCCTCGGTTCGTGCTTTCACCATCCTGGAACATGTCCCTATCCCTACGATCGGCACAATGAGGTCTCGATGCCGATCTCGAGGATTCCCTCGGTTTCTGAGGGTGCATCCTGGAGATTGTCATCGTCTCTGCACCTGCCAATCTTGGGGTCTTAGGGATAGGGGTAAGCTCGATGCTGGTTATGGGTCCCCAGTCTTGCTCCCAACCTTTCTGTGCTCTGGCCTCGCAGGTGGCAGACACGTGGCCCCAGCGGCGCAGAAGCGAGCCGCCCCCCCCCCTTCCCGTCGTGGTGCTTCCCGCCTCCGGTCCAGAAAGGCCCAGCCCATGACAGAGGCGGCCACTCGAAGCTCGTCATGAGTTCGGCCAGGGTCGACTGCGGTTTCAGCCCGGCGTTCTCGACGCTTGGGCGCCCAGCCTCTTCAAACGCTGGGGGGGGTGGGGGGGCGGTCGGTTAGGCCGCGCCCGAAAAAACTTTGCCACGTGCGCGCGGATTTCTTCGATCTGCTCTAGCCCCTCTCGGCGGCGCCCCTGGCGCCGCCCCGTGAGGAGGGGGGGGTTCCAGCGCCGATCGAAGAAGTCCGCGCGATTGCCCTGTTCCGTCTTCTTCCTCCTTCTCCTCCTCCTCCTTCTCCGGATAATCGGTCTTTCCCTCGTCCTTCCCTCCTTTCTTTTCTCGTCGCCGTATTCCTCCTTCTGTCCGGCTAAGTACTCCACGGCGGAGACCCTCTCCCAGCAGTTTGGAAGCTGGCAGTTTTCATCATCCGAGCTGGACCTCGTTGCATTTCCCCCCCTGCCCCCCTGCCGATACCCCCTCCGACGCCTGGGGCCTGAGAACAAAGGGGGAGGGAGGAGAGGGAGTGGAAGAGGTGGAGGAGAAGGGCACGGAAGCACAGCGGATGGATTCGCCTGGATTCGCTTGCCTGATCCCCTCAGCTGTGTGCATGCCATCAGAAATGACGATGAAGAGCTCACCCCTCCCTCAGGCCTTTCCTGGGCGTCACTGGGCAGCCTCGTGAGTTCTAGCCCTGGAGGGCATACCGAAACAGTAGCTGAGAACATCTGGCTCCAGCTATCACCCCCGCAGGTTGTAGCTGATATCGGGCCGGACGAAAGGGGGGGATTGGGAACGGGGGGGTTACGAAATCTGCTGCATGCAGCTGGTTTCGGCCCCACCGAGGGGCTCATTCCTCGATGCATAGCCGCCTCCGGCGCCGGGAGGCGCCAGGAAAATCAGCTGCGTGAGCTGATTCTCAAACCCCCCCTTTGCTATCCCCCCCTTTTGCCCGGCCCGATGATAGCATTTGGCACCAGCTTCGCCTTCTTCCAACCTGGTCCCCTCGTAGGGGGGTTATGGGGCGGGCCTGGCTCTGCTTCGCCCATCTGCACCTCGGGCCCCGCCGTTCGGGAGGGGCCGTGGGGCTGGCCTGGCTCGGCTTCACGCCCTGCCCTTCCTCACGCTTCTCGCAGTGGCCGCGTGCACGGCCACTGCCTTCTCCCTCGCGTGAACTCCTCCCAGCATCGTAGCTGGTATATCGCTGACTGCCGCCCTTCACGAACCAACTACTCCCAGCGTTGCAGCTGATGTGTCGCTCACTGCCTGCCTTCGCCAGTGAACTACCCCCAGCGTTGTAGCTGAGGTGCTGCTATCTGCCCGCCTTCTCGCACGATCTACTCCCAGCGTTGTAGCCGACACGTCCCTCAGTGCCTGCCTTCTCGCGTGAGCTGCTCCCAGCGTTGTAGCTGATGTGTCTCAGGAGGAGAAACAACACAGGCACAATTAATCGTCGACTCCCAGGAAAATATGGGAAAATATGGGAAGTGGGGGGGAAGACAAAAACCCAGAAGATATAGGAAAATATAGGGAATCCTGTGATTTGTGTATATTTATTTGTGTGTCCTTGGGCCCATTCAGTGTCGCTCACTGCCTGCCCTCTCGCGCGGCCTGCTTCCAGCGCTGAAGCTGAGATGCTGCCACGGCCTGCCTTGCTGAGCAGCGACAGAGAGTCAGCGAGCGAAGAACGGTATAACATAGACTTTTTCGCCGTCGAGGACACCTGCCCCTGGGCGGCTGGAAAGTTTATACCCCTACGGTGCCACCGTAAGGGTATAAACTTTCCAGCCGCGCTGGGGCAGGTGCCCCCAACGGCGAAAAAGTTTATATTATACCGTTCTTCGCCCGTTAAAGAGTGCTGCCACTGCTTGGCCTTCTCGCAGGCACGAGCTGGCCCCCGTCCTGTGGCCGACGACTCTGCCCCCCGCGGGGGGTCCTGGAGCTCGAGCTGCCGCCCACACCGCCTTCTCCTCCTCCTCCTCCTCCTCCTCCTCCTCCTCCTCCTCCTCCTCCTCCTCCTCCCCCCCTTCGCTCACTGCCGCCCTTCTCGCATGAGCCGCTCCCAGCGTTGTACCTGAGATGGCGTCCACTGTTTGCGCGGAGCTCGAGCTTAGCCTCCAGCTCCTCCCCGCGCGCACGACTCCCAGCGATGTAGCTGACCTTGGCTGCTCACTGCCGCCCTTCCCGCACGAGTGGATCCCAGCGCTGTAGCCGATTTACCCTCGCACGGCTAGGCTGCTCCAAGTGCTGTAGCTGAAGGTGTTTGTTGATCACCAGCGTCTCATTGCAAACTGTCCACGGTCCTCGGCTGGGCATCGGGAGGTGAAAGAGAGGGACAAGGAGAGAGGGAAAGGGGAGGGGACGGCCCACATTCTTGACGGCTCTCTGGCGACAGGGCCCGCGCAGGGCTTTTGGCCTCTAAAGACGATGTGTGTGTATGGCTCCCGGGGCCATCGTAGCACCCTGACCCCGAGTACAGGCCCCTGGGTGGAAGATGGCTAACGCAGCGGGGGGAGGAGGAGGACGTGTAAGGGGAGGAGGGGGTAGAAAAAGGTGGGGGGAGAAAGGTGGGAGGACGTGTAAGGGGAAGGAGAAGCAGGAGGAGGAGGAGGAGGCGGAGGCGGAGGAGGAGGAGGAGGAGGAGGAAGAGGAGGAGGGTAATCGGTCCCCGTGAGAGCGACACCCCTACGCTGGATGCGAGCCTCATGGGGGTCGCCGCGGCTCAGGGCCAGTGCGGCCCCGCGGCTGAGAGGCCAGGCCCATCTCCCATGTTTCGCCCTTTGGAGCCTTAGCGGTCGCAAGCGCGAGGCTCAGAGGCATTGTTTGTTTGTTTGTTTGCTTGTTTGTTTGTCTGTGTGTTTGTTCTTCTTCTTCTTCTTCTTCTTGTTGTTGTTGTTGTTGTTGTTGCTATTGTGGTTGTTGTGGTTGTTGTTGTTGTTGTTGTTGTTGTTGTTGTGGTTGTTGTTGTTGTTGTTGTTGCTGTTACGGTTGTTGTTGTTGTTGTTGTTGTTGTTGTTGTGGTTGTTGTTGTTGTTGTTGTTGTTGTTGTTGTTGTTGTTGTTGTTGTTGAACATTATTTCTTCTTAAGAATAATTATTGTTGGGACCCCTGGTGCACGACCCCCCCGCCGCGCCTAGGCCGCAGCCACATTTTCATCATTTTCGTGAGGAAGTCTCAGGCAAAACGATTGGTCCGGATCCGGTTGTTTTGTTGTAATCCGTTTTCCCTTGCAAAAAACACTATAAAATGAAAATTCTTGTTCTTACTTGATCAAATTGCAAGAATCCCTTGCAAAAAATAAGGTAAAGTGGACATTCGTGCGCGCAAGACGAAATCCTTCCAAAACCTTAGGTTTCGTAGCGATTTTAACATAAAAACATCAAAAACCCAATGGTTTTTTAAGAAAAAATTGTCAAAATGTCCTTCCGCGCGCGCTGTCCGAATCCCACAAAACCAATGGTTTTTCAACATTTATGTTACATGAGCTCGCGCGAGCTACTTTTTCTTGTTCTAACATAATCAAATTTCAATAATCCCTTGCAAAAAATAAGGTAAAGTGGACATTCGCGCGCGCAAGACGAAATCCTTCCAGAACCTTAGGTTTCGTAACGATTTCAACATAAAAACATCAAAAACCCAATGGTTTTTCAAAAAAAAATGTCCAAATTTCATCCCGCGCGCGCTGTCCGACTCCCACAAAACCAATGGTTTTTCAACATTTATGTTACATGAGCTCGCGCGAGCTACTTTTTCTTGTTCTAACATAATCAAATTTCAATACTCCCTTGCAAAAAAAAGTAAAGTGGACATTCGCGCGCGCAAGACCAACAAAAAACACGACGATCTCAGGAACTTGCCCCAAAAATGTGACCAACTCCGCTCTCTCTGTCTCTCTCTCTGTCTGCTCTCTGTCTCTCTCTCTGTCTGTCTGTGTCATGTATTGTATGTCACAATTGCAGGATGCTGGGCACACGCGCGCCCCGAATAAGTGACCAAGTTCTGTGGGTGTGTACCCCACGCCAGTGTAGTAGCCACGGTCGTCCGCACGCCACGAAGTGAAGTGTCCCAACGTCATAGGGCGGGAAGCTGGGTTTGGGTGGTCGCGAAGAGTCGTTTGGATATTTGGTAGAGCTTGAACTGCCCCCCCACGAAGTGGGGGTATTGTCTCGCGTCGCATGAAAACCCTGGCACTGGTGAGAACACTGAGCGTTCGGGTAAAATGATTGTTGTTGTTGTTGTTGTTGTTGTTGTTGTTGTTGTTGTTGTTGTTGCCGTTGCTCTGTTGCTGTTGCTTCTGCTGTTGTTGCTGTGCTGCTGCTGCTGCTGCTGCTGCTGCTGCTGCTGCTGTTGTTGTGTTGTTGTTGTTTGTTGTTGTTGTTGTTGAACATTATTTCTTCTTAAAATAATTATTGTTGGGACCCCTGGTGCACGACCCCCCCGCCGCGCCTAGGCCGCAGCCACATTTTCATCATTTTCGTGAGGAAGTCTCAGGCAAAACGATTGTACCGGATCCGGTTGTTTTGTTCCCCCCCGCTTTCCCTTGCAAAAAACACTATAAAATGACATTTCTTGTTCTTATATCAAATTGCAAGAATCCCTTGCAAAAAATAAGGTAAAGTGGACATTCGCGCGCGCAAGACGAAATCCTTCCAAAACCTTAGGTTTCGTAGCGATTTTAACATAAAAACATCAAAAAACCAATGGTTTTTCAATAAAAAATTGTCAAAATGTCATCCCGCACGCTCTTGCGGATTCGTAGGAAAACCAACACTTTTTAAACAATTTTGTCAAACGGGCTTTTGCGAGCAACTTTTTCGAATTTCTGCGACAACGGTTGCGCACCTGCCAGGGCCATCATCCCTGTCAAATAATACCATGCGGGACACATTCGTTTTTTCTTCGCGCGCGCACGCCGAAATTTTGTGGGTGTGTACCCCACGCCAGTGTAGTAGCCACGGTCGTCCGCACGCCACGAAGTGAAGTGTCCCAACGTCATAGGGCGGGAAGCTGGGTTTGGGTGGTCGCGAAGAGTCGTTTGGATATTTGGTAGAGCTTGAACTGCCCCCCCACGAAGTGGGGGTATTGTCTCGCGTCGCATGAAAACCCTGGCACTGGTGAGAACACTGAGCGTTCGGGTAAAATGATTGTTGTTGTTGTTGTTGTTGTTGTTGCTGTTGTCTTCTCGCGCGAGGATGCGACGGCCCTGGCAGAGCCCTCCTCCTGTCTGCAGCGCCCCCCCCTCTCTCCACCTCCTGTGGCACGCCCGGAGACGTTCGGCGGGGCGCTCACAGCCGGTTCCACCCGGAAGAAGCCCAGCGAGCCGGGGGCCCGCGTGGCCGGGAGGGCGCGCGCGTGCGCACTCTGCACTCCGCCGCGGCGCGGGCTGCTCGGTCGCCCAGCGCATCGGGGCTGCGTTTGCGGCCGCGCCTGCGGCGCTCGCGTGCAGCACCGGCGCCTCGCTGAACGGCGCTGTCTGGCCGCGGGTGCCTTGGCCGGGCACTGACGGCGAAGCGCAGCGCTCCCCTGCACACTCGTCGCCTGGACAGCTGGCTCTGCAGCTTCGCCGTGCGCAGTGTGGTGCCGTGAGCGGCAGGCCGCTGGCAAGAATGTGGGCGCGTGCACGCTCTGGGCCTTTGGCGGCAGGGGCGTGTGCCGCGCAACGCGCTCTGGAGGACGCGGGCTCCTCCTCCCCTCCTCCTCCTCCTCCTCCTCCTCCTCCTCCTCCTCCTCCTCCTCCTCCTCCTCCTCCTCCTCCTCCTCCTCCCCCTCCTCCTTCGCCTGCCTCCGTGCCGCACGCGGGCTGGATCGGATCTGACTTTCCTGTCCGCCGGTAGGCTCGGGCCATCCCTGCATATCAAATTCCAGCAGTGCTGCGGTGGACGTGCTGCGCGAGCGCGCGGCCGCGCGCAGCGTGGGCGAGAACGCAGCGCTTGCGTCCGAGAGGGAGGGGTAGCGGGTGGCAGCAAACACCGGCGCCGAGTTGCCGTGGTGGTCTCGGCCGCCCGCACCACCGGTTGCAACCCGCAGGAGCCAGAGCAGCATGCATGTGAGTGGGATGTTTTTTTTCTTCACTTCGGCGGCGAGCGCGGGGGGGAAGTGAGAAGGAGAAGGCCTTCTCAGAAGGCGGCGGGACTTATCAGAAGCCCTCGCGCCTTCTGAGAAGTCTTCTGTGTCTCCGGGAAGGCTCAGGAAACTTCGCAGAAGGCTGGAGGAGTTCCGAGCCCTCTGAGAATGCCTTCTTCTTCTCACTTCCCCCCCTCGCTCGCCGCCAATCACTGCTTCCCCTTCGACCCTCTCGACTTTCCCTTTGTCCACCTTTGTCCTTGGGAATGCCCTGGGGCCGCTAGGGCTGCGCTTCGATGTCCAGTCAGGAATTCTGTGCCCCATTGTTTTGCAGGTGAATCTCGAGCATTCGCGGGGGTTCGGAATGGGTGCAGGGCCTCTGAGCTCGCCCCCCGATGTGGGGACGTCGGATGGGAGCGTGAACCTCGAGATTCGATGTTGCGGAACATTCGCAACGTCGCGAGAAATCGCGACCGGAGCCTTGGACCAAGTCTTTCTGCAGCGCTTTTCGAGCCGGCTCGATCTGTGATGGTCCCAGGTCCCGAAACTGGGCGAAGAGGCCGAATGTGAGCAACGCTGCAACGCCCGGATCTCTGCGAATCAGGATGATCTGCCTTCTTCGCAAGGCTCGCCAGGAGGCATTTCAGTAGGGGCCCGACCACAAGAAACCTCCCACAAGAAGCCCAACCCTGAGACCCCAGGACGTCCATTGATTTTTTGGTGTTGGAACGTCACGCTTTCCATCGCAAAACCATCGATACCCAAGAAACCTGGGGCACACTGGTGGCAAGCAGGGTGTCTTTTGGTATGGGCCTCCATTGTATTACAGTCACTCGAGGTTGACCTATTGGCCCCGCGGTGGCTCTCGAGCCATTTGAGTTCTGAACCTTTGCTCCTCCTCGGGGTCCCCCGCGCAGACGAGTGGCGCGTTTCGGGGCATCTTTTGTGCCACACGCCTGGCCCGTGCATCAGGTACGGGGCCCAAACATATACACCACCACCGCTTCCCTCACCCCCTCCCTCTTCCAAGAAAGAGGAGGGGAAGAAGAGGGTAGAGGAGGGAGGAGGAATCGACGCGGTGGTGTTGTTGTATATTCCTCCCGCCCCCCGGACACCCTGATCTTGCCGGCTGCGCGGGTCTGGAGGGGTGTTTGCGCAGCACGGGTGCGCGTGGGCATACGTGGGCGCACGGGGTCCAGTTCGATCCGCTCGATCCGATCCGACATCGATGTCGGCCAGCCCGATCCGATTCGACTGTGATTTTCGTCGGGGGTGGAAAGAACCCCCACCCTGACACGTCGATTAGTGAATTGTCCGTTTTCGATTCTCGAGAGGGCGCCGCGGCCGTCATGGCTTGCGCCCGCCAGGTTTGGGCCCGAGGTCGTTTTCACTGAACCACGCTTTGCTAAAGGGGGTTCTGGCCATCCCCGAATTCGGGCGATGCGATGCGGCCCGACGCTTGCGTGCCGCTGTTGTGCATCCTGGCGCAGCCGATCCGACTCGGTTTCGACTCGGTGCCGACGCGACCCGATTCGCTGCACGTTCCGATGCGATCCGATTCTCCGATCTCGTGCCTGCCTACCGCGTGCATCACGAGGTCAAGCGAGCGCCTGGCTGCTGGCCGCTTCGGCCCCCCCCCCTCCCCCCTTTCGGCGCCCGATGCTGGGCACGCAGGGGCCCGAGGCCGTGGTAGCCGCCGATCTGAGCTTGCACCCGCGCGGCCCCAGAGGCCCCGGCCGCTTCTTCGCGGGGGGTGCCGTCCTCCTTCTCCGGATCCGTTGCTGAGGTCGGCGGCGCGCCCGAGGAGGAGTGCCGGGGGCGGGCCCTCTCAGAAGGCGTGGAGTGCCTGGTGCCTCCCCCCTATGATTGTTAGTATTGGTATTCGTCGTTTTTATCAGTACTAATATCATGATGAATACCAGTAGTATGTTTCCTCTTACTTCTCCTCCTCCTCCTACTCCCCCTCCTCCTCTTCCTCCTCCTCCTGCTCCCCCTCCTCCCTCCTCCTCCTCCTCCTCCTCCTCCTCCTCCTCCTCCTCCTCCCCTCCTCCTCCTCCTCCCTCTCCTCCTCCTCCTCCTCCTCCTCCTCCTCCTCCTCCTCCTCCTCCTCCTCCTCCCCCCCCTCCCCCTCCTCCTCCTCCCGAGGAGCTCTTCCAGCCTGCTCCGAAGACGCGGGCGGCCCCTCAGAAGGCGCGGGGGCTTCTGAGGAGCCCCCGCCTGCTTCTGCAGAGGCCTGCCCCCCCTCTCGCTTCCCCGCGGGGCTCGCCGCTGGTGGCGGCACCCCGGGGCCCGAAGGCGGCCCCCGAGGGCCGCATCCGAGGAGGAAGCCGCCGTGGAGAGAGCCCCGTCGTCGGAGCCGCGGGGAGGACCCGCACCTCGGCGGCCACCGCGACAAGCTGGACTTCGAGATGCGAGACGAGGACGGCGTGCAGCCGTACCTCCTGCGGCCCTCTCGGGGCCCACCTCTGGGCTCTCCTCGCGGCCATCCTGGAGGCCCTGCGGGCCCTCCCGTGGTCATCCTGGAGGCCACCGGTCCAAGGATGGGGAGTTCTCGGAAGTAGTACGCCCCCACCCCCCCTCGGAGGTACTGCTCGCTGTGCAACGTGCCCGTCTATCCGGGGCACCCTCGCGGGCAGTCGGCCGCCGCCCCCCCATCGGGCCGACCCGCGTCTGCTCACGCCTCGGCCGCGTCTGCTCCTAAGGAACAATCGAGGCGTCTTCCCCGGCGGCAGTCTTCGGCGGGCGGTCGTCTTCGCCGGCGGTCGTGTTCGCTGGTCGTCCTCGCTGACTTCCAGGTGCCGCATTTTTTTTCACGCGGGGCGGCTTCGTCCAGTTTCAGGCCCTGGGATCGCCATAGACCGAGTCGGCTCGAAAAACGCCACGGGAAGCGAGGCTCCGGTCGTGGCTTCTCGCGATGCTGCGGAGTGCATGCGCAGCGTCGGAGCTCAGGGTTCGCCGGCGGGCGTCTGCGCCGGCGGGCGTCCTCGCTGGCAGGCGTCATCGCCGGGTTCGTCTTCGCCTGCGGTCGGCCTCGCTTGTGCCTGTGGGAAGGATAGGGGGACCTCCTCCTCCTCCTCCTCCTCCTGCTCCTCTCCTCCTTCCTCGTTCCTCCTCCTCCTCCTCCACCTCCTCCTCTTCCTCCTCCTCCTCCTCCTTCCTTCCTCCTCCTCCTCCTCCTCCTCTTCCTCCTCCTCCTCCTCCTTCCTTCCTTCCTTCCTTCCTCCTCCTCCTCCTCCTCCTCCTCCTCCTCCTCCTCCTCCTCCTCCTCCTCCTCCTCCTCCTCCTCCTCCTCCTCCTGAGGGGGAGGGTGGGGTTCACTTCACTCGGCGGCGGCGGAGGCGGCGGCGGAGGACGCCAGAGGGAGGCCGGGACCGCGACTGCTTTGGCCCCTGCGGGCAGCAGGTCTGTGTTTCTGGCCCCCCCAGGTTCGGTCCCCGCGTGCCCTCGAGGTTTGGGCCCGGCAGCCCACCGCGAGTGGGGGCCCAGACCTGGCGACCCGCCCTGTGCCAATCAGGAGGAGAAAAAACACACAGACACAATGAATCGTCGATTCCCCAGAAGATATGGGAAAATATGGGACGGGGGGGGAAGACAAACGCCCAGAAAATATTGGAAAACATAGGGAATCCTGTTATTTGCGTCTATTTGTTTGTGTGCCCCAGGGCCCCTTCAGAGTGGGGGTCCAGGCCTGGCGACCCGCCCCGTACCAGGAGTTCCCCGTCCCTCCGTCGCGCCGCTGCTCCTTTCGCTCCCTCCCTCGCGATGCTCGGCTGCAGTCCCCGCTGGCACGGGTTCGCGTGAGAGGGGGGTCCTGAAGCATGCGTCGTGCTTTCTTGGTCAATTCGGGGGCGGCAAAGAGGGGGGTGATGACTAGGGGGGTGGATCTCATGGCGTGGGCCATGAGATTTCCCCAGATTTCATGGCGCCTCTTCTTATTTCATTATGTCCCTGGCCCGCTCTTAGGCCGCGCACATGCCGCCGGCCATGATGTGCACCCCCTGAAACAGTGGGCCCCCCCGCGCAGCGAGTTTATGCCCTGTGTGTGTGTGTGTGTGTGTGTGCGAGCCACGTGGTGGAAGCTCGTTGGCAAGAAACATATCCGTATCCGTGGCTTTGCGGGCCCGCCCCCCTCTTGGCCGCGACCCCGTGGATACAGGGCGCTTTCTCGCAGATGCCACGGGCGGAACGTACGCGTGCGACCGCGCAATCCGCGGGATCGCTCCCCAGACTCCAGACCGCGTCGCTCGTCATGAGCAACGCGGCGCGAGCTGTGCGGTGGGACCAGCCTTGTGTTAAGTCGGGCGTGTCCCTCTATAGGAGGAATCTTTTTGGTAATAGTTTAAAGAAGAGTGTGGTGACGATGTTTTTTTTTTTTTTTTTTTTTTGTTTGTTGTGTGTTTTGTTTTTGTTTTTTTGTTTGTTTGTTGAATAGTTTTGGAAAATGTTTGGTTTTCGGCCCACATCCGCCTGTAGGAGGACATGCCCGACCTAAGTCTTGCCTTGTGCAGTCCTTGTGGCGCAGGCTGAGCGGTGGACGCTGGGGGGTGCAAGCTATGTGAAGGAAGCGAAGTGGCGGAAGCAGTGTGGTGGCGCACAAGTCGGCGACGAGCCAGCCACG